TGCTGTCGCACGGATGGGCCGGCTCGAACCGGGGTGCTACCACGATCTCACAGAATACCACCAGCGTGAAGTGGAGGTTTACCTCTACGTTGCGCTTGGTGAGTGCAAGTGGCCGGAGGCCCAATTCCCCCCCCCCCCCCCTCCATCAACATGGTAGCGGAATTTAACAAAAGACTACCCCAGGAGGGTACCAGCACCCCTGGAGAATCCCTTGCTGAGAATCCACGACCAAATTACTCCACTCCTGAGCGTGGGTGCACAGGCTGCTCCGTGTGTTGGGGGGGGGGGGCCAAAACTCCGCTCACGACTAATACTGCTCGAGGCAAACGGAACAATATTACCAAGGCGACCCCTGTCAGGCTATCCGTGAATTTTTGCAACATCAGGGGAGTTCATTCCAACCTAAACGCTGTCCATTACCACCTAGAGACGACGAAGCCGGCCTTGCTCTTTTTAACCAAGACTCAGGTGTCCTCTCCGGCTGATACTTCATATCTCTCCTACCCGGGGTACAAATTAGAACACTCCTTTGTGCCCCGGGCTGGAGTTTGCGTATACGTCAGATAGGACATCTGTTTTCGACGCGTCAACAGTCTTGAAGGTGCGGACCTGTTCATCCTATGGTTACGCGTAGACAGCAACAGCGATCCCCACATTTACGGGTGCCTCGGTAATGCCGACATAGATCGACTCATCGATCACGGATCAGACTCCGTGCTACAACAGGTCCCGTCCGCAAAGATACTCAGTGATTTTAACACCCATCACGCTGAATGTCTTGGTTCTCGTTTAACCGATCATGCGACTAGATCTGTCTATGACTTTGCCTTGGCATATGGTCTAAATCAACTGTTTACTTCGATTATGCGGATCCCAGATGTGGAGGATCATGTACCTTCCCTGTTGGATCTTCTGCTGACCTCTCTTCCGGACGGATATCAGATCTCCTCTGGGCTCTTCGGACCATTGTCTGATCTGGAGTACGGTGCCACTCACGCTCCCATCGCAGTTGTGATCTGCAGCTTGCCGCCGTGTTTGGCACTATGGGTCGGCCGATTGGGACGAGATGCTGTCTTATGTTGCATCCTACCCTTGGGGGCGAGTTTGCTTCACGCTGGATGATCCCAACGTTGTTGCTGATTCTGTCGCTGATGTGGTAATTGGTTTCCTCTGTAATGATCTTCTACGTTTCTAAATATGTATTCGAAATTTAAAACGGGAACATCATCCTCATCGTCATTAATCCATTACAAGTCCACTCCTGCACAAAGGCAACCTCTGAAAATGGGCCATAAAATACGGTTCTCATCTCTTGCATCCACTTACTCCCCGGAAGTCATAGCAATCGTCATTCAATCTATCAGGGGGTCGTCCTACACTGTGCTTTACATGACGAGCCTGCCACTTAAGATCCCACCAGAAACCCACTTTATTTTACTGGTCTGAGAATATTTGCGTTTTTCCTGTGTTACTGTTGATATTTTCGTTACAGATTTTATAACGCAGAATAGTTCCAAGCATACATAGCTGTCACGTACGTGCTTATCGACTCCAAACTTTCTTATATGTTACTAATTAGTGTCTTTAAGCATACCTTATGTATATAAACACTCATGCCTGTTACCCAGAGGGGTAGGCAGAGACTATGGACTTCCATTTGGCACGATCCTGACACACCTCTCTCGCTTCCTCCACATTCATATACATACGCATATACGCTCGTTAGTTAAAGGTACTCTTGATTTGGCCCATTTTCAATATATCACCAATTTGGTCGAAAAACTTTCGCCTAGGGCGTCCCTTCCTGACTCTGCCGTTCACGTCTGCAACATAAATTTGCTTTGTCATTCTTTCCTCATTCATTCTTTCTACATGACCAAACCACTGAAGCATTCCTTTCTTAATCCTGGTCACAAAATCATCTTGCAAACCACACTCTTCTCTTATCAAACAATTTCTCACTCTGTCATTCAGATTCATCCCTTAAATACTCCTTAATGACCGCATTTCTACAGCATTTATTCTACTCTCGTGCTTCTTCTGCCACACCCAACTTTCACTACCATACTATATACTACATAGCATACTTATGTATATCAAAATGGGTCTTATAAAGAATAAAGTAAATGGATGCTGATGCCCATACACATCTACGTCCACTCGATTAAGAATCAAACCGAACGGGTTATCACCCCTGAGCACTAAAATGGAATGCCTCGTTTCCACTAAAGAGGGTCTCCGGTTCTCTGCACTCACCACAACAATCACAGCATCATTCTGCTGTTTTCCACTAGTATTATGTGAAAGCGTGGTCCAGCCTACCCCAGCGAGCCAACCATTCATGCTGCAGCTTAATATAGATTATTCAAATAATAAATCCATAAAACTACTTGAATAGAATGAAAAGGTTTTATTAATAAAATTGCTAACACACAACTTACTTTATTTGAGATCGATCGTAAAACGCTATTTAATCTTAAGAAGTACTTCAAGTTACGACTGTTTCATTCGATCGTCAAAGGAAAAGTAGTCCTTAAATATAGTATCAAGAAATGACATTTTGAAATCGTTGTTATTATACTCAGTTAATAATATTTATGTAGGTCTCTTGTTATTCTCACCATCACTTAAATCTTACCATAGATAAATATATATGTAGCAAGCTAAAATGTTACTGACCATGCACCTTGCTTTCGGTTCTTAAAATTTATTTGCTAAGATACGCAAAAAATATCTAATGGTGTGCCTTTTTCTATAGAATAAGGGTAACAAACGAGCACATAGTCCACCAGATTGTAAGTGGATACTGTGGCCAATAGACATCTATCTATCTACATCTATCCTCTGTTAAGAATCAAAATACGCATGCATCATCACGCCGGAGGACTAAGTTGGAAAACCTAGTTTCCCGATCGAGCCGACCCTTTCATGCTACAACCTCAAAATAGCTATATCATGACTCTACTACATTGAATTACCTTCTTTAAGTTTTATAAGCCAATGCTTGACTATACCACCTGATGGTAAGCGGTGTTCTAGCTGAAGGTGGAAAAGCGCATTGACTTAGTTGAAGAGAAATTCCTTCTCTCCCTCGATTGCACTAGAAAAACACACCACATACGCCACTAAGTTGTAACAGCCATCGAAAAGTCTATTTCTCCTAATAATGTCTCGCTTAGAGACAAAACACGTGTCATATTATCGACGGCATTTTTTTCAAGCGAATCTTAGCTAATATATTTTAACGTCTTTAATATAATGAACATCGTCAAAGTAATGCGTGATTCTAGTAATTGTCTTCATTCTTCTTATTTTCTTTTGTTTTTAATTAAATACATTTTTATTTTAAAAAGAATACTAGTAAAACTATTAACTGTAAATGACCGTGTAGCGGCGGTGTAAGAATATCCTCTACTCCATACCGTTCCGTGGGTGTCGTAAGATGAGACAAAGGGAAACTGAAACGAGACGGGCAGCAATATCTTTCTGATTGAACTCAATAGAAAACTGTGGTTGCCAACCCACCTGCCAAGCAAAACAACTGTGACAAAATCCCCCCGATGAGGCAATTTTTACGGAACCATAGACCATGTTCAGCAGTAGATGTTAATGGGAAGTTATAAAAGAATGAATGCTGTTAACGTTTCGAATACCCACGTTAACCAATCGGTTACACTTTAAACTGCTTGTATTAGTAAAAAAACTATAAATAAAAAGCAAAGTCACTTCCACGCATCGATTTAGAAATATTGTTACATACTTCACCTTCAACTTCGAAGAAATATATTCTTAATAACATGTGGGTGTTTTACGCATTACCGTGCTCTTCACGTGCCCTGTAATAACGCAAATAAGATTACTTAGTACTGGGAAACCTTTAAAGGAAGTAATCCACTTGTTACGGCCTACGGCTGCTTCAGCAAGGGTCAAATCCTCCGGGGCCCACCAGCAGAAGACTTCACGAGCAGACGCAGGTGTGGGCCTCAATATGACCACGTGGAATATGTTCTATCACAATAAACTATATGGGAGCAAACTAGAAAGCAAAGGTACTTACCTGTATCAGGAGCTAACTTCGCTCCAAGGCTTGGGCAGGCCGTGAGTGTGTGTAATGGTAGATAGCGAGTCGTGTACAGTGATGTGTGAATGTGTGTTGCCTTGGCAAGCATAGGCGACCAGCAGCGGCCGAGTTCCAGGCTGCTCCAAAATACTGCATCGCTCCAGACTACTTCAGTGCCGGACCACTTCTTTCTTCACTGTCACTATTCAGTCTCTCAGCTTCATTTTACATTTAACTAACTTCAATTCGCCTAATTCCACACTCATCGTAGAGTTGAGCTCGTGATACCCGACACGGCAACGGACAGTAGTTCAAAGTTCAATGTCCCGGAATCACTTATCACAAATTATAAATTCGACACAATAACACGTCGCACAAGATTCAAATTACGTCTCGTTGACACGCAAATTAATTTAACTAGGCAACCAAAACACAAAAAGGCACTAACGCGACGACCCAATTATAACGATATCCTGCCAATTAACCGGGAGAAGCTCTCAACTAGGAATGCGCGGCTCGAATTCTAGACCGTATATCTACTCGACGCGCGTACAGTATTCCGCACTCTCGCATGAGTTAAATATAGCACAATTCACATATCTACGTGACGAAGAAGCACGTACCTCATCTAGCTATCTAGATCCACGACGGGCCGTGAATTTAGGTAAGAGGGCCTGACGGTCTCCCCGCCTCGTGGCTGGCGGGGCACCGACCTTTCGCCGCTCACCCTGCACACCGCCGCCCCACCTGGCGGTGTTTTTTCACCTACATACTATCGGGTGACGCGATAGCTCGAACGCAATTGGAGGACGTTCAACATGGCCAAATTTGGGCATAAACACCACTATATAATTAAGAATACATACAGGCTACTGCGCAGTCGTCATCGGCAAATCAGTGCAATAGTATCGTTTTGTCAACAATCAACAATTTTGTAGCAATGGTGTACAATTTTAAAGTGTTTAGAAAGTGTACGCCCAATGGCAAGCACACGCTGTACATGGCCAAGCGTGAGTTCGTCGACCACATCTCCTTCGTGGAACCGATAGGTTGGTGTATAAAATAATATAGTAATAATAATAAAGCTAGATAAATGAAGTTTTGGACCAAACAGGTCATTAATCTAACACTTTAGTATCTCTTATACGGTTATGTAGATAATATTCAAAAAAAAAATCAAGGAAGTTTATTCTTTACTATCGGACTGATTTTAATAACGGAAGGCACTACTCAGTTCTTTTTCTTCTTCAAAGTCCACTATACGGAGGATTTTACACGTGGTAGAGCCATGCTCCAACCATAGCCGAACCACAACTGAAGCATCAGTAGCCAGGGCGCGGACCGCGAACTCGAAAGGTCGTGGGTTCGAATCCGCCATTCGACTACTGTCTTCACTTTTAATAAAAGCATTTTAAGCTTACCAGAAGTAGTTAAAGGGAATATTAGTAATGTTTAATAGCATTATTAGTATTTTTTATTAAAATATTTAAAAAAATATTATGGTTGTAGCACGAATGGCTCGGCTCGTCCGGAGTATGACCACTTTTTCACAGAATACCAGCGTAAATTAACAGCTTAATGCTTGCTGTGTTACGTATGGTTTGACTGCCCCGTTGGTCTATTGGTTGTAGTAGTGTGACTGCTGATCATGTGGCCCCGGGTTCGAATCCCGAGTCGGACCAAAATATCAGTTATTGAGTTTTTTCATCAAGAAACTCTCAGTAGCCGCCCGGAGTCAGGAAGTTGGCGGTGTCTCAACCCCGTGCCTCAGAAGGAACATAAAGCCGTTGGTCCTGCGCCTGATCTCTCTCCGGTCGTGTCGGTTTACCGTCCCATCGGACTATCAGAGAGAGGGAATAGAGAGTGCACCTGTGCTTGGGCATACACTTGGGCACTATAATCCTGTCCTGCACAGATAGCTACTCTCCGTTGAGACTGGCTGCCGTGACCGAAATTCGGTCTGGAGGACATTCTAGTGAGTGTTAAGAACGGGAGACCCCTTTTACTGAAAACGAGGCATTCCATCTTAGTCTTCAGGGGTGACAACGCATCTTGATTCTTAATGGAGAGTGGATGTAGATGTCTTTGAGCCACAGCATTTACTTACCCTCAAGTGGACTTTGTTCTCGATTGTCACCCTTATTGTATAAAAGGGCTGTGTAGAATTTCGTTGAAGTCTTTAGGGCTGGCAACGCATTTGAGCCCTTCTTTGTTTGAATTTGCTTGAAGGTTAATTCCAATCATCTGAAGATTTCAAGAAATTTCGCCAGAACTTTTTGCTCATTTTATTTTGTACTAGCTGATACCCGCGACTTCGTCCGCGGTACGTACACACATCACTGAACACGTAGTGCTTATAACAATCGTTGTTTCTTAAATGTTTAATAACTTTATAAGTATTAAATGAAGAAATATCAATAATTTTGTTTTAGATAAGAGCCAAGTGTTTAAGAAATAAAACTTAGAAAACCTAATTGAAATATATCCCGTAGTTTTACCGTGATGCGCGCACAAATGCATGCCTCCATCATTTTATTTATATAGATAGATGGTAATGGTAGATCTTAGTATTAAACATTATTGTGAAATAAAATAACTCAGCGTGTAGAAACTGCAGTGATATAAAGCAAAAGATCAATCTTACACTGAATTGGACTTACGCCCCTTTTTCACAAAAGCTTCAAACCGGACTTTATACACTACACGCGTAACATCGATCACTGTGCACTACTTTGCCTGCAGACTGCAGCTTTAGTCTGCAGCAAACGAGAATGACGCGATATTAATAACAGCGGCCACGCGCCATTTTGCGATCAATCACAGTGGCTCCAGTTGCACACCGTCACGTCCTGTGCCCCGCATTCCGTCGTCACCCATGACTGATGCGCTGGCCACAAGGCTCTTAACAGCAACAAAATTGCTTACGAGCATTGCCAAAAGTTGTTTTGTTCCTCCTATATGTCTGATATACGTGATTTTTTTCACAAACTATATACTCGTACGACCAACGGCGAGATATGAAACGAATTATGAGGATACTGTAGTTTGTAGCGATTGAGTATCGTGATTCACTTTGAGCGTACACTTTGGCAATATAAAAAAAAGCATATAAAGTTAATTAAAAAGGGCGAAATTGCAATAGTTGAGTGAACATTTTTCACGTAAGAAATTTCAAAGATGGAACAAAAATAACGTTATTTTTGTGATTTTCTTTCGAACTTACATCCTATATGCGTGATTTTTTAAATTTATCTGTGTGATAATTTTAGAGATATAGGAGGAGACAGTAATTTTGAAGCATTAATATATCACACACGATAATCTAAAAAAAACTATGGGGTAACCGCATTTTATACCATGCCAAATTGCAATCATATATTAGAAACGCTGTTGGTGAAAAATCTCCGTGCCAGGGAAACAGAGAGGCAGACACCGAGAAGATATCTCAAGTGCTGAATTTGTCACAAAAACACCCTGAAGCGGTTTTATTTGGAAAATTTCACCGGCAAACATATAAGAGAGCAAAAATTTTTTTCTTGTTCATCGCTAAAAAAACTTATTAAAGAAAATAATTTAGATGAAATGCATTTTATATATCTAGGAAGTTATTTCTTGGTGAGCTAGCAGAACTGCAGCGCGCTGAACGCGGCCGGAAGTTTGAGCAGAAAGCATATCAAAGATATCGTTAAACCCGCTTGTGGAAACTTTGTGCACGGAATTTAGAAAATGTTCAAATATTTCTCAACTTGCTGCAACCGGATATTTGATATTTATTGAAATGATTGTACATTAAGTAGATTTGGTGGCACCATAAAATCCATCATCCGAATGTTTCCTACCTCAATAATCATCTTAACCTTACATCAGCTTATCTAAACCAGTGACAAGAAGGGGCATCTTGCGGCTTGCTGTATCTGTATATGATACGTAAAGAGAAAACTTTGTACCCCTTTTTAAGTATATTGCGCGCTCGGAGGAGTGTGAGATTTGGCGTGATTAAGGTTTATATAGAGAAGGAGTGCAGAAACCTAAAATTTATATTATATAGCTTGCGTTATAAATACATTAAATTACCATAACCATAAGTAATACATTGTTTTTACGTTCATACTGCGAATGTCAGCTGTTGAACACATAATAATTTACAGATATGTCGTCGAAGAATTTTAAAATGTTGCCAACAAAATTATTCCTGACAGATTGATTGAATGATCTGTGAATTTTGATTTTGTGTAAAATCCAATTACGCTAGTAATACTTAAATATGCCAAGAAGCTGTGACAGCTACGCTTTGACCTATCTGTGGTATGAACAAATTTAATTTGCGAGATCCTGGTGCTAGTTCTAAGAAAAACTGACTGATGAGTCCGATACTCTCATTGTTATAAGTACACATCGTGTGACAACAATATCTGTATTGTTGGCATGTTAAATCCTATTCTTCACCTATCTTCATCAACAAAAGTCCGCAAAAGTTCACACTTGTGCCTCTCTCTATGTAAAGACGATTAGCTCTAATTGCCACCGTACGTATCGCATCTTGGCACTGCTCTCCATCGCTGGTCTGGCTATCTTAAGTATGATGTGTAAACGATATTCATCAGAAGCCATAATTTTTTTCTATCATTTCCCTTAGCCACCACATCCCACCACACATCAAAATGAATGAAAATTAGTCAATTTATTTTATTGATTCATTCAATGTTGGCATTATTTACATTTAAGATAACTAAAGAGTAAAATCTTCAACTTTGCGAATAAAATAAAGCTGGGATATCTCCTGGTATTCCTCTCTATCAGTTCGTAAAACCATTTCATTTTCATTCCATTGCAATTGCTAATCTTCGAAATGGCTAAACCACCATTTCGAAGATTAGCCCGTAAAGACATACAAACAAAAATTTTAAAAATGGTTGTCTATGTCTTAATAGCATGCAAATAACCCCCTGAGCTTGATAGAAGCCAGTTATTTCAATATTAAAAACAGACTACAACTTTATTCATTATTAAAGATGAAAGGTTTAATTTTTATTATAAGTATTGCGTGGTAATTGAACTAAATGCTAACGCCTATAAGAAGAATTCAGATCGTCAACAGGATCACTTGCAGGACGAAGTGCATGCAGTTAAGAGCGCTCTTACAGAGCGGCCTACATTCGCGAGGGCTCTCATCGGGCGTTCACATCGATGTTCATGTGCTTGCTGAAATTGACTAGCTTAATTTAATATGCTAACATAATGTAATAACTTCTTAGATTTCTTTTGTACTTAGAGAAATTGTTTTTTCACACAATAATAATAATATAATAATTTATTTCAATAAACTGTACAATTAATTCAAACAATGCCTTAATTTGAAATAGTCTCAATAACAGGTACCTGAACCAGCATAAACCTGTATCTCAGGTGTGTGTTAATATATACACTAACAAATATTTTCTGTTTCTATTGTAAATTGAATATCATACCAACTAATATGTTATAAAAGAAGCTCTAAAAGAGATATTTTTTTTTTATTTTTAAACTAGCTGTTCCCTACGCGGGTGAAGTTCGCTCGCGCGTAATTAATTATTATTGCATTTCATGGGTTTTAATTTTTTTAAACCCTAATTCTTTTCCAAAAATAAAAGAAGCCTAAGTTACTCCTTATAACATCAGCTATCTGCCAATGAAATTCCCGTCAAAATAGATCTAGCCATTTCGGACATTAGCCGTAACAAGCAGGCAGACAGAGAGACAGACAGACGGACAGACAGACAAACAGATTTTTTTAAAAAATTGTGTTTTTGTTATAAGTACCGTATACATTTTCTGATGCATTTATTAAAAAGCTCTTATTTTGACATAACAAACAGACACTTCAATTTTATTTATTTGTATAGATATTACAATAGCGACCCGGATTTTTTTTTACTTATTATAAGCCAGTGCTTGACCACCATCCCACCTGGTGGTAAGTGACGATGAAGCACTAGATTGTAAATCTTAGCGTATCAAAAGCCTATTCACTGAATATTAATAACGGAATGACAGACGCCGGTAAATTATTCCACTCCTTTACTGCACTACCGCGTCCGACTACAACTTAAAACAATCCTCGTGATCCCATTAGCATCCCATAAAAATTTCATCAAAATCAGTTAAGTCATTTAGGAGGAGAATTACGTACACAATGAAGACTAGCTGCCATGTCAAACGTTTTCCTGCCCTTCCCGATAGGTGGCGCGATGGGTTTGAATCTGAATTCATTCTTAATTTAACAGTGTATTTTTTTTATAAAATAAACGTGACAAACGAGCACTCGGTCCCCCTGACAGTAAGTAGAATGCTGTGGCACATTGACATCTACATATATATTTGATTAAATATCAAAATGCAGAATGCGCTCTCACCGCTGAGTACTAACTTTCCAGTACTGAGTTTCCAGTATAAAAATAGTCTCTCGTTTTCTACACTCATCATAGAAACGCATCATACAGCATTGAGCTGCTATTTCACGCTGGTATTCTGTGAGAGCGTGGTCCTTCTCCGTTCTAGTCGATCCATTTAGGCTACATTCATAATATAGCTGCAGCATGACTCTACCATGTATGTCACTTTTTGCAGCCTTTATTCGTCGGCTTTGTTTAACGACATCTCTATCATTGTTGACGTGGTGTAACAGATGGCGTGGTTATGCTGGACGAGGAGTACGTCCGCGCGCGCAAGGTATTCGTACAGGTGGTATGCACGTTCCGCTACGGCCGCGAAGAAGACGAGGTCATGGGCCTCAATTTCTACAAGGAGTTGTACCTCGCCTCGGAGCAGGTCTACCCGCCACCGGAGAAGCAATCTTACGAGCTCTCCAAAACACAGGTACGTTCGTGATTTTATCCATATATTCAGCTTTTAAGTTACTTGACTATTTACTTGCTTATTTACTAGATTATACACTTGGCCTTTTACTTACTTAGTTACTTGATTATTTATTTGCTTGTTTACTTGCTCATTTGCTTAATTATTTACTTGCTTATTTCCCTGTTTACTTGACTATTTACTTAACTATTGTGCCCACTGTCCCTGGATTCATAGTTGCAGGTAAATTGTAGCGGTAAGTTGCCAAACCCACTATAATATCGTACAACATTTAAAAATTCATTCCACATTTTCTTCAAGGAAGAAAAATAAGGGTGGAATTTTTTCTTCAAATTTAAAAGTAATCATTGAAAGTGTTACAATAAAAAAACACAAGTAATATATCGAGTCATATAGTTAAAAATAATATATTAAGGATTCGAATTGAGACCCCCTTTCTTTTTCTAAGTCGGTTAAAAATAAATCAACCGCCCGTAAATGTGCATTTTGCTTATTATGAAGACGATAATTACACAGCGTGAAGAGGCCAAATATTACTTCATTAGGTGTTGGTGGACTTCAATTAAATTCTAAATAGTTGTTATATAATATGGTAGATCCATGCTGCAGCTACATTATGGTTGTAGCACAAATGGGTCGGATTGAACGGGGAAAGATCACGCTCTCATAGAATTCCAGCAAAAAATAGTAGCGTAAAATAGTGCATTTTAACCTTATAGTAGGATATTACACTTACCGTTACCGTTACAGCCTAAAGCCTAAAGTCGACTGCTGAACACAGGCCTCCCTCATAGATTGAGTACTCATAGGGGTGATATTTATCATAGTTGCCACGCGTGGCGAGCGGGTTGGCAGTCGCATATATTTTCATTTTAAGTTGTTATTAGGAAGACGTTGCTGCACAACTCTTGGTTTGTTCCCCTCTGTCGCTACTTGCGACACCCACGGGTAGTGGATATTATTAAACCGCCACTACACCGTACTGATGATAATTCAAAGAGTTTAAATTTAGTGTTACCAAAAATATTATTTTAGTACGTTATTAGTTATTTATATCATTTAATGGGTGCTTAAATGTACGTAGTATTACAGAGCCACTCTAATATGAGAGTTCATTGGATATAAACTGATAAGCCGCAGTTACAGTTTCAAGACACTAATTCTCTATCACGAGTAAATCTATTTTACTATAACGGACTCCATTAATGTGTCATTTGTTTTATGAAACTAAAAATACTGTCTGCCAATACTCGTAGTTACAATTATATAAATATTCTCATTGTTTTATGAAACTTTCAGTTTAAAAAATATTACTTATAGTTTCATAAAACATATGATTTTTTAATTTAATATGTTGTATGAATATATTTTATACCGTGTGGTTTAAAACGGATAGAAGTTTTATTTTTAAATTATAACAGAAGTTTTGTAATAAGTTAGGATTTTAAAAATAGCGTTACCGTTATAGGCTATTAAATTCCACTGCTGAACATAGATTGCCTCATAGCGGTAATATTTGCTATAGTTTGTTGTGTTGTTGCTGATTTGATTCCCTCTGTCGCCTCTTACGACACCCACGGGATGATATGCGGTAGTGGATATTCTTACACCGCCACTACACGGAATCGGTACATACAAAAATACAAGTAAAAATACACCTGAAATAAAAGGAAATGAAAATTAAATAAAAAACAAAAACAAATACACGATGAATATCAGGCACTGATAGAATAACCGCTCTGTAGCGGTGGCAACACTGCTACATCATTATGCTGATTCGGATGCCTTATTGTTGCTGTAATGTAATAAATTTGAAAACTGTTTATCATCTGTTATTTTCTATTTTATAGTTCTCGATGTAACGATTAGATCACTTTTTTTGTTTCGGGTTATTTTTCAATGACTAGCCAAATTTAATAATTACACAATATAAAAATACTGATATACAGTTTTTGTAGCTTTTAAAAATACGCGTAAATAAGTTTTCTACATTTATTTGAAAATAGAATTCCGAAATTGAATGTGATTTATGGGCAAAACTACAGCGTACGCGCGCTCGTGTGTGTATGAGTCAATGCACGGAGTTTTTGCCTACTATTTAATTCCTTAATGTCACGCTCATTACTAAGTTGATAACTACGCGACGCGAATTATGATTCCGATTCATATTTAAAACGAGCTTAGGACCGTTATAATAAATAAAATAAAATATTTACATAACAACGACGTAACCGATTACTGTATTTATTAAGGCGTATTCAAAAACTTGGAATCAAGTATTTACAACTATTAAGAATTTAAAACGATTAACTATTGCATACCGTAAGCGCAAAGCGTGCAGGTTCTCTGTGAGGTCACGCTGGAAACCAGCGTGCCGGCTCGAACCGGGGTAGTACCACTGTACCATCCCGGTGCGAGCCGGCCCATCCGTGCGACAGCAAAAGCTGCCGCGTGGCTCTACCACTGTTAAAGAGATGATAGTGGACGGCGTTTAGGTTCGGGTGGAGTCCACTGATGTTGCAGAAATTTACGGACAGCGTGGCAGGAGTCGCCTTGGTATTGTTGCTCAGTTTGCCCCGATCAGTTATTGTTCTTAGCGGAATTTTATTCTTTGAAGCTATTTCAAGTTTCAATCGAATCAGATTAAAATCTCTTTTTAAACGTTTTAACCGTTACCGTTACGGTCTATTGAAGTCTACTGCTGAACATAGCCTCGTCCATAGATTGCCTAATAGGGGAGATATTTGCCATAGTTGCCACGCTTGGGATGCGGGTTGACAACCGCAGTTTTTCTTATTTTAGTCGTTATTAGGAAGACGCTGCCGCCCATCTCCTGATTTGTTTCCCTCCGTCACCTCTTACAACTTCCACGTCATGATATGAGAAAACACTTTAAATATATTTTCTTTAATTCGAGAGACTTATTTTTCTGGATACAGACCACCTAAGCAGTAACAGGAATGAAGATTTAAGTATGCGCAAATGAAGGGTCCCATTAAAAATAAAAGCACATTGGAGTGGCAAGGGTTAAATGGCGAGGCGTAATAAATTCGAATTAGTACATAGAGATGCGATCCCACCTCGCAGTATTCATTAGACCGGCGGCGGACGGGTTTAAATTACATAGTTATTAGGGCGTAATTACACGCGGCGAGTTTATTCGCGTCGGCCGCAGCTGGCAGGTGGACAGGGCCCTAGGGGATTGCTAGGTGCTCGCCTCGACCTCGGTTGCTCTAGTTGGTGTTTTGTTATACAACATTAGTTCATAGTACAGATAATGCTGTCTGAAGACGTAAGCCCGAGTGTTATTTATACGCCACAGTAGAAATGACATTTCTAAAACTTTAAAATAAATTGGGATTTTAAATAAACATTTTTAAATTTTTTGTTGTGTACTGGCAAAGTATGAGTATCCATCGCCCTATTTCGTCCCGAGAATGTTCAGAATTTACAGGTGATAAGCGAGCACACAGTCCAGCTGATTTTAAGTGAATACTATGGCCCGTAGACACCTACATCTATCTTCCATCCACATTTATTCTGGATTGAGGATTAAAATGCAGATGCAGACGCTGGTATTCTGTGAGAGCATGATCCTTTCCCGGTCGAGTCGACCCATTCGTGCTACAAACATAATATAGCTGCAGCGTAGCTCTACAAGGTGCACATCTAAAAGTGTGCACGTTTTAGAAAGAAGAATAAGGTTGACAAACGAGCACACAATCCAAATGATGGCTAAGATGGAATGCTTCGTTTTCAAAAAGAAGAATCTTCAATTTTCTGCACTCACCACACGGAACACTGCACAGCTGTGTTCCGTGTGGCATCATCAGCTTTAAGTTGCTATTTTACGCTGGTATTCTGTAAGAGCGTGGACCTTCCCCGGTCGAGGTGACCCATTCGTGCTACAAACATAATATAGCTGCAACGTGGCTCTACCACGTATACAGCGTGACGATTCAGAGAAATTATTTCTACAACAAAAGAGAACCATTACTAGCCACCAAGCAGCAATGCGTGCACTGCTTTGGTCCGGTTCTAAAGATAAACGGAGCTAGTATAATTACATCCATCTTAGTCCTCTTGGTGACAACAGTCTGTAGCTTTCTTCGTTTGAAGTTTGTGTCCCTGGGCTGCAGATGCCGCTAACTTACCATTAAGTAAACTGTAAGTTCGTTTATTAACTGAATAGTATAATAAGGACCGCTCTTAACTGGAAACACGGCATTCTATTAATATTTAAAGTATACTCTTTACGTGGTAAAGCCACGCTGCAGCTATATTATTAATGCAACGTGAGAGGCGTACACATATCTGACTTTAGATCTGCGTCTTGTAGATAATTTTAATGGATAACGAGACGCTATTTGCTTAGAAATCGAGTCGTTATAATATTACTTTATTGCTTTATATAGGTAGAAATTTACACTTCGTGGACAAAGTTTTGTATACCAAGCTGCACAAGTGGCTTGATAAAAAAAATCACCATTTCGGGAGCGACTGGTGCGTGAGCTGGGTGCGCTCCAGGCTCCGTCACGCTGCAGCCCGCGCTTGAGAACGAGGGCGGGCCCTGCGGCGTGCACTACTACGTCAAGCTCTTTGTCGGAGACAACGAGATCGACCGCTCGCACCGCAGGTCAGCCTCGCAATTAATTGATTGTAGTGTTCAGGTTCAAAAAATAGTTGCTAGGAGGTAGGGTTCATAAAATGAAACACAACTATCAATTAGCAAGTGTGAGTCTAAATGCATCATATAGCATTATTCTAAGATGTTAGTTCAGTTAGCCCTTTGGCCTTAAGGCTTCATCTGGCATTTTAAAATCATCGTATATTATGTTAAGGAATCTAACGTACTATGTGAAACAAACCTCTGCAATGCGATATAAATGACACTATACGGACAGACATCTAATAAATAAAAGTAAACTAAGTATTGTTAACAAAGTAATTGACAGATTTCAAACAGTTGCGTAGACACATAGACATAGAGAGACAGTATACATGATGTATAT